CCCAAACTGATTATTAAACCTCCCTTGATTTTTGAAAGACCTTTTTTCAGCTGTTTTTCTATTAGGGCGGCGTTATCCTTCTTTTCATTCTCTTTGTTGAAATTGGTGTCATCACTGAGAACATTTGCACTCTTTCCAGATAACGATTTGTTTAGTAAAACAGCACCACTGCCTCTGTCAGGATATTGGAAAATTAAGTCCTAACTGTTAATCAGTTCTTTTATTACTATGACGTGTTACTTAGTCAGTAGACTGGGACATTTCTCCAATGAATTAATAAAATTTTGTCAGCAGTCCAGAATGGTCGATTTGAAGAGCCACAGTTCTTCATTGGAGGCAGGAACTAAGTCTTTTGTTTAACTAATGAAACTAACGACTTCTGCTTGCGTATGAAGAGGAACTTTGTAAGATGTTCGGGGATAAAATTTGGTGTCAGTCGATGAGGGCTATATATATCTCGTAGAAAGTGTCCTGTTGGAGACGTTAAAAACAAAGTCCTCTGGCTTCTGGGGAATTTCACAGGGGCTTCAAATGGTCTAATTATCTTTAAAGAATGTAACTGGGACAATGTAACATATTCACAGATATATTACATAACAAAATACAACTATGGTAAAAGTGAAAAAGGTATATGATCAAGTAAACACATGTCATCTATAATTCCTTCCGTCCATTTAATCAAATGACCCAACTGTTGGCTCTAAGCATTTTGTCTGTCTGACGCAAGCAGGTTTTCACCTGTTCATGGAGGATTTCCTAACCGTAAAATACTTTACTGATAGCTAGTTCGTCTGGCTTTGATCACACTAAGTTTTCTTTCACAAGAGAGGAATAAAAATTGAAAACCTTATCAGATATGTTACGTTATCATTCTAGTAACTATTCATTATCTTTTCTTTGTTAACTGAGTTCCCAATGCTAATGAACTGTTTATCGGCTTATTTACAATTATTTATTGTAACAACTCACTGATTCAAAAATTTAATTTATTTACACTTTTTGTTTTATCTGTTTACAAGTTTCTATCTATAAAGCTTTTCTTCTCAATTTAATGTTTCTCCGGTAATAATATCGATGAGGTTAGTCTTATAATTAAATCTTACGTATAATTTGATTTTTGAAGACAAAGAGCAGAAAAATTATTGCAATCTTTCTCATCATGTCGATTTCAAATCAATTTTAACTTTAAAATAGGTATTGTTTACTGATCCCTAGAATATGCTGAAGGCAAACAAAAAGAAAAGAACTGCCTGACAATAAGGGTGTTACTGATTTCAGTATATAATTTGATGAACTGTTTTTCAGCCTAACTGACTGTGATATATAATTACTTTTTAAATGGAATAAACACTGTGATATAATCAGATTACTGTATATTTACTGTCAGTAATGTCACTGAATAAAACACGTTTTCTTGTGTACAAAACAACTTAGTCAGTGGCTTCACTAATTATCAATATATAAAACAAACACTCTAATGAATGATAAGCCATTTAGTACTATATATATATATATCTGAATCTGGTGAGAGATAAACATTAGCATAGTATGTACGCCTTTTGTTTTAGGAGAAATGTAGAACATCACAGAAGCACTGACTACTGCGAAACAAATAAACATATTAAAGTCAGTAGAATGAAGAACAAAGTTTAACCAGTTAATCACGGATTGATATCAGTTAGAGAGCCATCAAAAACCAGGGAGTACTGTACAGTCGTTTCATCATTGGCAGTACGCACCCACTGGGGTTCGAGCCCAGGACTTTCTGATTACATGGCAAGCTCGTATACTATTCAGCCACTGGGACCCGATTAAATGACCAGCCCATGAATTCTATCTTCTATCAATTCGTGATTTAGCAAGACCACTAATCAATGTCATCGGTGGGACATCCATGCAGGGGGTGCGTACTGTCGTTGATTCCCAAACTAGAATGAAACGGCTGTTCAGTACTTCCTGGTATTCAATGGTTCTCTAGCTGATATTAATCCGTGATCAACTCGCAAAAACAAAATTAATCCATACAAACCAAACTATAGAAAAAAAGTTTAAGCCAAAAGAGAGAAAATTACGCAATATGTTCCATTCATTTCATGGAGTAGAAGTTGTGTATTTTACTTACTGCTGAAGCTGTTCTCACTGCGTTATGTTAAACTTTACTGTACTGATGTAGGAAAATAGAATAATTTCCTGAATTGAATGAAAAGAAACCAATAAAAGGAAATGTTACTGAGACGGTCTGCGTCTTACTTTGCTTTACATGTAAAGCCAGTCGAAACTTATGTTGATTAAAACTCTTTTATTCTATTGATAATAGAAACGACTGAATAATCCGAATTCCATGATAACATTTACCCCAATATTAGTGTGTACCTGTATCAGTCTGAAATTAATTAGTTAAATACATGCTGAGAAGTGTGGATCAATAGAAGACATATTTATTGAAAGAAAGTAGACGCATATCTTCGTATGTATAGTTTATTTGCTAAAGGTTGCTTAGAGTGTGTATATCTCTGAAACGGAACTTATCATAAACGTATATGCTGGTGACAATTTGCTATTATTTAACGGATTTTTAGAAAGTAGACAGTAGCGGAATGCCCTGGAAATCTTAAAACAATTTTTAGCCTTACTTATTTCGTTTCAACAGTTTGACACTGTCTTTCCACTTGGGGTTTGTCAAGTACGCGGTTCACTAACCTATTGGTGAGTGTAATTTTTCTCATTTACTGAATGTAGTAAATACAACTCTCAGAAATTGTTTAGTGGCTAATCTAGTGCCCTAAGAAATCTGGTTTCAAAGAAGAATTTTTCACATTCACGCTTATTTTAACTGGAATGCATCTACTGAATACGTATATACGTATGTATATGACGTTAGCAGTAAAACCCTATATTAGTGAATGTGTACATTAATTCTGATGCACATCAGAACATTATTCAAGGTTATAAAAGTGAAATAAATCTAGTTACGTATATAAATATTAAGTCATCAGTTAATAAGCAGTAAAATAACTGCAAAATTCAACCAAAAAACTTAGGATAACTCAAAATTGCAAAACACATTACTAAATAACTTCTATCGTATAGCTGGTAAATGTTATTCTATACCAAAAAAGGTAATTTTTTGTTCAAATCCACTGGAATCGGCGCCATTCAATTAAATATGATTTACTGAGAACTAAATACATTGTATGTGCGTACCTGATTTTACTGGTAGCCGGTAGTATGTGAATAATATACTGTAGGCATATTTAAACACGCATCTTTTAGATAATTGGACAATTATTAGTAGTAACTTTTCTTAGCATTATGAGTATTAAAACACTTTGCGTTGCGGGAATGGAATTCTGTTTGAATAGAACTGAAAGTCTGGGAGTATTAAGTAGTAAGAAGACAAAAAAGTATGTCACCTTTTTCATAATAACCCTCACAGAATTAAATATTCAGGACAATATAATGGACTTGATTGACAGTAATGTTAAAGTATTTATATTTTATCTGGATGCAAAAGGCCTCATGGATTTTTGAAGTAAGGGTCTTGTACATTCTTTGATGATACGATTAAGCTCAATTCTTATCGATTTAGTGTTAGTGCAAACTACGGCCGCACTTCATCTTCAGTTATTTTATTTGTTGTATATGGTGTTGTTTCTATATTTAGAAAAGCATCCCGTAGTTTCAGCTTATCTACTGCCACATAATCCTTTTCCTAGAGACATTTCTGTGTGGCCTAATACCTTTGTTGAGACCCACTGATTTATAGATGGTCTTATCGCTGTATTCACTGTCCTGGGGTAGAAGTTTATCTTCAACTAATTTGTTGAATCTCTTGGTTTAAATACTATTTGACTTCTTGAATGCTGCTACTTTTGCACTTTTAGAAGATTCAGTTATGAGGTCGTAACTTTTCTTGTTAACTGCTTCCATTTAATCGTGTTTGAAATGATTAACTTCATTTCCAACACTGAAGAACTTTATTCACTAATCTGTGAGTTGCTTATTTCAAGCACATTTTCCGCAGCTGTTATATTGCTTCTTTAAGTTTGTTGATTAGGATCGCGGCTGATAGAATTACACATTTAAGAATAATTTCATTACTGGGGCATCGAATATCGAAAATTCTATGATTTACGAACCTTGCTTCAGTTAGCGAAACTCTTGAGAGTTTATTGATCATTCTTCGAATAGGAAGTCTATAAGGCTTATTAATGTATATGCAATATTTGGACACTTCGATAGTGCTTAATTTCATAGAATATGTTAGTTGGGTATATCACACACTGGAACTGGATTATTCACTGGATGACATTTTGAACGTAATTTAGCGTTCATCATAATGTCATGTCATGACAGATACTGCACATATACTAATGTGACTTCTCACGATTAGTTACTACCTGAGAAGCTTACTGGTAAGTGGGCAAATCAGCGTTGATCGATAGCATGAAGCACTCGCTATTTGTAGACGTTAACATAGTATACTGATAGCTAAGACAATTATCGAACTTAAACAAAGACAAACTTTATTAGCAAACGACCAACCTGAGTATGTTGAAATAAGGATAAAACTTGGGCACTGTGGTAGAATATAACTTCATCATGGATAAAATTTTATTCTGATAAAATCACAGTGTTATACTCTCATATTTACTGATGACGTTTTGACCACAATTTATTGCTCATAATCATATCAAGGTACTCACATAACTTTCTGGCTTCCTATATATATATATATATATATATATACATATATATATATATATATATGTAAACGTAAAGGGACCTGAGTATGTGTTTTAAGGATTTGTCCTTATATAGTGCACAAAGTTATAAATCAAAATTTAGCTCTAACAATATACATTCACTATAACCAGTTTCAGTGAAGCCACCGACCAAGACATTTTATTACCAGGATAGTCAGGAGAATGATCGACAATATTAACTGAACAAAAAATTGACTAAAACGTCACTTATGTTTAAAATAATCAAAGCCTTACCGGTCTGATGCAATGGCGATAAATGTAAACACACTGATAGCGATGTTAAATGCAGTGAAGAACTGTGAGAATTTACAATAAGCAACACCGAAAATCCAATCATTGTGAAGTACATAATAAACATTCGGTATAATCTGGAATACTGTCAGTAAGTCAGCTGCAGATAAATTGAACAAAAAACAGTTAGTCACTGTACGCATTCTACGATTATTCAATATAATCCACATAACTAAAATATTCCCAAATATTGAAAAGACAACAATCAATGCAAACATAAGTGTGATGATTATGCATGATGACAAACCAAAGACTTTAGGATCTGTAAAATTCTGTACATGTAATGCTAATGTAGCTGAATAGTTAAACAGTAACGAATGAGTTGAATTCTTAATATTTGTATAATTCATTGTCAAAAGTTGCTGAGGTGAACCGAAATGGATTACATTCCTAATAACATGACTATATTAATTGTAACGTCTACAGTTTTTCTATAAATAGTAACAGGAGATATTCTGAAGTTTACAAGAATATCTAGGATTATACTTACTAAATAAAACATTTTGATTGGTTGTTAAAATCATCATTTTTGACTGGTTCCCTAAAACAGTTGTATACTTCTCCGGTAATCCACTGACATTTTTACGATTGGTAGTTATGTATTCTGGGTTAAAATATGTAAGTGGGTTATTTGCTTCACAGCAGCCTTTTGTAAACTTTTAAAAGTTGCACTGATCGTGTATGCAGTTCCTCAATTTCAACTATGAACAGCGGCATTGAGTAATCTAGTATATTATGCATTGCACAGTGGTGAAACAACATACAAATGGTTATTAATTTTCATAATATATCAAAGGGTTATTGAAGAGTTGCAAGTGTAGACAAAACACGTGAAACCTTTAAAAATTATAATTGTCCAAATTATTTTATTTTTTTTCTGACTACTTCATCTTTAATTACACGTTATCCTTGCAAAATTGTTATATTCTTATGAACACTTCCTTCTTAGTTACAAGTTCTCATTGTCCAAAACACGAATTTTTTTAAAATACAATTTTTTATTCATTTTCATAATAATATACATAACACTGTTAAACCAGTCATTTTCTAAATTAAAACACCATTCATTCAATAACATACACCAGTTGTTCTATACTTTTATAGTGGTAATGGGCAATGTCAAATTTAGTTGTGTTCAGTAGTAGTTATCTGAGGCTGTGTTCATACCACAATTGTACTATCTGTATTCTTTAATAATCTATAAAGAATTTCGGTATAAATAGAATTAACTCTGTAAAACATTTTATTCCACACCAGTGTAGATAAATTACATATGACTGATGTTGAGCATGAAGTCATTCTGTCGGTTACAGAACCAACTAACTGATGTTTTAAGGACTGGATGATATCCTCTGATCGTACGGACTGCGCAAATATTGACCAACACCATAAATACAAACTTCCATACCAGCAACAATTTTGGTGAACACTGGACATTAGTGGATACTTTTAACAAAAAGCAACTATTTGGAAGTGATTTGATTAGTTCTTTTCCCCAACGCAAATTTCCGTAGGTGAAAAACAAGCTTTTCGTCAGGTTTTTCCTGATGAGTAAACCGCTTTTTCTGTAATGAAGTCGTCTGTAAGTGAATGGAAGAGTGAAGAAAACATCTCTTGATTTCATTATATTCCCCTAAACGTATGGTCGTTACACCTACATCCTCTTCACGATTCCTAAAATGTTTCATCACTTAACATGTGAAAATATAAACATTTACTGGTGGCATATATTCACTTATTTAATTATTTATTTATTACCAGATATTTGTGTAACAATTCATTGGGTTTTAGAGAAACCATTTAAGACTACATTGTATTTTAACTGATATATGTGAGTAAACATATTAGTTTATCAGAGTAAATTTTTCATAGATGCTTCTAGCTGTTAACTGTAACAAACCCGAAGGAAAAATCCTATTTAATGGCAGAAACTTCATGGCTTCAAGTATTAAAATTGTGCATAATTAACGTTATATACTGCTTTTAATGACAGTAGACTGAGACTTTGGGGGAAGTCTGCTCTCACCTGGCTTTCAGCTGCCAACTACTTCCCTCTATAAATGCTCACACTTGAAGCTTTATGTACAATCAAAAATTACCTAGGAACTTTTTGATTCCAGCTGCAACCTAATTCAAGTTTGGGCTGCTCAAATGCCCTCTTTCATCAAACATTTATTGTTTCAAATACACCTTTGATTTTGTCCCTAGTTTCGCCATAGATTGTCGTCGGTTATCGAATCACTTAACAACAGGGAGTGTTGTTTAGTCTTAGTTTATTTTTTTTTACTAATACTTTTCTAAAAACAACTCAATCGCTGGTTTCTTATGTTCTGCTGGTTGACAACGAATGTTGAAGCGTACAAACATAAATCAAATGACTGTCCGTAAATTAGTTAGCACAAACAGTAGAATTTATGCTTACTTTTAAAGAAAAGTGTAAAACTGCTGCAATATGTAAAAAATAGAAAGTCACGCTTCTACAGTCAAAACCATCTAGAGATCTAGAGATCCATGGGACAGATTTTGATACTAAACAATAGAATACATCAACTTTTATGAACATTACACCAAGTTATCTTTTAATAGCTGGAGTAATAATTATTCAATTACGTTTTCAAAGAGGAAACCAATAACGTGATGTACAAGCGAAAATATTCTAAACGTCGCCTTTTCACTACTGTTCAGGAAAATAAAGCTAAAACTAAAGGAGAGATTAAATAAAATAACATTTAAACTGATCCGTCATTCTGAATACCGGGAAATAACGCAAGTGTTCAAGTAAAAATCCCTTATGCTATTTCAAAGTGAATCTCTTTGATTGTTTTGAATGCATCTTCCGTAAAATGGTAGGTTAGCGATTTAGCCATAGTCACAGTTCAGTTCACGGAAGGTAGATGTTTCATAATTATGTTCTAGAATGGGAGTATCCGGTTCTAAATTGAACTTATTTGAACGTCTTTTTCCCAAGTTTGTGAAGGTTACATACTTTACGAGTATAGAGAAGAAAAGTAACAGTTAACCACACAGATAGGTTAATAATCGAATCTTTGCTCATCAAATCAACACTCATTAAGTCCAGTAAGAATGATGAAACACTAGCGCTGGATAAATGAAAAGCCCAAATAGCTAACAAAATTAGAGTGGATAGAAGAATGCAAAACAGTTTAGTATGTCGCGTGTTGAACATTATAAGATTATGAGTGATAAATTATACTCGAAACACCATTCTGTTAAATACATCAAATCATCATGTGCCGTAACATTTAAACCTGTTTTATATTTTACTCAAGCATCTATTCATAGCACACAATATTTTAGACTTACAAATAGCATTATAAACACTACTGTATAGCTCTGAATTGGTATTAGGTAGTTTAAAGGAAATTTTACTATCTGAAAATATCGAAACACCGATTTCTTTTAAATCAAACTCCTATTCAATAAATCTCCAAAGAAATGAACACACGTTCTGCGAGACTGAACATCTAATGCCATCTATTATTTAAGTGAGGTGACAGTAGAGGAAGTTAGTGGTATTTCTGACTACCTAATCCAATTTTCAGATGAATAATCGGAAAGGTGGGAAAACTGTTTCATTAATGAATGATAGACAACGTGAGCATGATAATAAACTAACTTTCTAAAAGTCAGTGCATTTTGTAAATGTAGCTTGATAAAAATTGGCAAAAGCCATTTAATCCACAACCGTATCTACCAGAAAGTTTGAATTTTAAAAGTCAGACTAAAATTGTCTCAGGTGTAGTCTTCAAAATGAAATTTGATCGCAAAAATCATTTGAATTCACAAAGAACAGATTATTATTTTAGTTGCATTTTAATAAAATATGAATGCTATTTTCGTCTGCAGAGAATTGTTTTAAATCAATTATATGAAGGTTATATTTGTGGGAATCCCAGCAAAAGTTATTCATTCCACTGAGAACAAATTTTGGAAACACAGTCATGAATCAACACTGAATACCGGTAACATGATTGACCTAATAGATTCCAAATATTTGGGAGATCCTTCTTCTAACCGAAATGAAGGAATAAAGCATTACTGAGAAGAAAAGATTCTTCAAAATTGTGTAAATTTTGACGTGACTATAGGCAATACAGTCTGCTCGAAAGGTCATTCTGGTAATTGTGCTGTGTCACTTCGTAAAATAAATAAACAAACTGATGTCGAACCAAGCAGTACCACAAGGCCTAAGTAAGAATTTTATGTTAACAATAAAACTGTAGGTGAAATAAATCTAATTTGGCTTTATTCCGTACTGATACTGCGTTTTGGTAAAGTTAACCAAAGAGCCACTCTGATCCAGTTATTTATTGATACTTGTAAGAAGAATCCTGGTGGATGCTTACAAAATTCAAATTTATCATTAAACTTTGTAAAACATATTTTGTGCTGTGAATTAATAGTTCTTCAAATATACAACTAACTGCGTGAACAACGTCTAACACAAAATGCAACAACTCATGGTGTTACATTATAATAAAGGTTTTTGTATTTCCCAATGAATGAAAAACAAAACGATATTGTTTTTACTGACATTTCGCTATTTAATGCTAATAGCTTTATCAAAGTATTATTAAACCGGAATTTACAAGATCTCAGTATATATATAACAAAGAGTTAAAGGGTGAGAAAATAGACTTAGGTCAAGTTAAAAGGACATATTGAAAGTCATAATAACAATGAAGATCACTAAACCAAATGACAAAGGTAATAGTACATCTGTTATAGTATCAAAATAAAGTTTACTAACTTGATCATCGTTCGTTTGTCTGGGGTCACTTTTCGCTGTCAATTTGGTCATTTGGTAAAGATAACAAAATCAAGTGTAGATTGTTGGATTTGATCCGTGTTTAAAATATTATTATTTTTCCATATAAGAGACCAGATCCCTAAAGATTCTCTATCTAATTGTGTCTACAAAATAAAATGCTTGGAATGTGATGCGATATACATCGGACAAACATCTCGAGAAATCAAAATCAGAAGAAATGAACACCGTAGAGCATCTGTTCGACCACCGAGAAATCCAATTGAACTGGAAAAACTTGAAAAATCATCAGCCATAGGTCTACATGCTATAGAATCAGGTCACAAAATTGATTTTGACAATATTGAAATAATCCAGAAAAACTTCAGAAATCATACAGAACGTCTAATATCAGAAGCACTTCATATCAAGTGGAATCCAAATTGCCTGATAGGAATGATGGACTAAAACAGAATCTGACACCTCCCTCCCCCATGAAGTGACAAAATCAACACGAATGTGATATGCAAGTTCACTATGTAAACACCCACTGCCTTTATAATTTTAAACACGGATCAAATCCAACAATCTACACTTGATTTTGTTATCTTTACCAAATGACCAAATTGACAACGAAAAGTGACCCCAGACAAACGAACGATGATCAAGTTAGTAAACTTTATTTTGATACTATAACAGATGTACTATTACCTTTGTCATTTGGTTTAGTGATCTTCATTGTTATTATGACTTTCAATATGTCCTTTTAACTTGACCTAAGTCTATTTTCTCACCCTTTAAC